ATTGACTTATGTTTAATTTTGTTTTTTCTTTCTGCAAAACTTGACCTCATGCACTATATTTTTATCTTTTTAGTGGTTATATTGGTACTTTTTACATACATAATTAACCTAATGAAGTCTAAAGTATACAATTAATCAATATCATTATCCTTCTTTCCAACAATGTAAGTAAAGACTTCATTTTATTTATTTAGCCAGCGTCTCACTATGTTGCTCAGGCTGGTCTCAAACTTGGGCTCAAGTGCTTTTCCTGCCTCAGCCTCCTGAGTAGCGAGGACTACAGGTGCACATCATCAGGCCTGATTGAGTGAAGACTTTCGAGTGCTTTAATTGTAATTAAACTCTCCCAACTTACACACCCCTGTTGTCTGGTTTTATAGTTGATCTTTTTTATCACCATTTTTTTTATTTTTGTTAATGTTTGCTTAGATTTATTTATGTTGTTACTATATTCTTTGCTTATCATTCTTTCTCGCATATCAGATCTTCCATAAACTATTACTTTGCTTCATAAATTCATTCTCAAGAAGTTCTTTTGGTTAGAGTCAGTTGTGGTAAGTTTTTCAGTTTTTATTTCGAACAGTCTAGCTGGGACTATTTTACCGTAAATCTTTAACTTGGAAATACTCAGGCTACACAATTAGTATAAATTCTAGCCCTGCATCCATCTGAAGTCTAGCTGAATCATGAATTCTTACAGAAAGTTTTTGTTGTAAGTTTACCAGCCTGAATCAGGACAGAAAAAAGCAAATATATTTATGTTTCTTGTGGGAGAGTAGGGGTGAGGAGTGGGAGTTGGGGCTGAGTTTCATTTTTTGTTAGCCCACCTTTTCACTTTACTCTGAACTAGGCTTTGTATGAAGTCCCTCGGCACTTGCAAGTTCTGTTAAAGTGAAAGCTCTCGGTCACTTAAGTCCAGTGAGGCCTCCTGAAATGGATAGATACTACCAGGACATCCATATCTTTCTTGATTTTTTTGTCTGTGTTACAAGAAAGACATCTTGATCCCCCAAAAGAGGGTTCTTGGACCTCTTGCAAGAAAGAATTCAGGATGAATCCGCAAAGTGAAATCAAGTTTATTAGGAAAGTAAAGGAATAAAGAATGGCTACTCTATAGGCAGAGCAGCAGCATAGGCCGCTTGACTGAGTATACTTACAGTTATTTCTTCATTGTGTGCCAAACAAGGGGTAGATTATTCATGAGTTTTCAGGGAAAGGGGCAGAGATTTCCTGGAACTGAGGATCCCCTCCCCTTTTTAGACGATGTAGGTTAACTTCTGGATGTTGCCATGGCATATGTAAACGGTCATGGCACTGGTGGTAGTGTCTTTTAGCATGGTAATACATTATAATTCACAAATAATGAGCAGTGAGGACCACCAGTGGTCACTTTCGTGGCCATCTTGGTTTTGGTGGGTTTTGACTGACTTCTTTACAGTATCCTGTTTTATCAGCACCGTCTTTATGACCTATATCTTGTGCCAACCAACCTTCTATCTCATCCTATGACTAAGAATGTCTCACCTCCTGGGAGTTCAGTCCAGCAGGTCTCAGCCTTATTTTACCTAGCCCCTATTCAAGATGAAGTTGCTCTGGTCCAAATGCCTCTGACAGCTCCCTTTGTTTTTGGCTTCTAAGGTTTTCCTTTACTTGCCTCCTAGCTCAATGGTGCATATAAAAAGGCACTATTGCATTTTGAAAGGACTTAAAAAAACTTCATCAAGCATTTGTGTCACACTGGTGGTTTTTAAGGATCTATTCTGCATATTGCTAGAACCAATGCATTCCATTCTTAATAACTTATGTGTGGTCACCAGGAGGACTACTTTTCCTCCATTCCTATAAGTAGCCAAACCGAGTGATCTTGGACCAACTCAGTAAGCCTCAGTTTTCTAAATTTACTTACTGTAAATACTTGAAGACTCTTTATTAGATCCCTTAAAAATTTTATCTCAAACTTGCATAAACTTCTGGGAGGAGATTTAGCATTCTTGATTTAAAAACAAACAAACAACAACAAAAATAAAAACCCCTAAGTTTCTAATGAACTTGAATGAAATCAAGATATTGTAAGGCAGGTGTGGGTAGTACAAGCCTGTAATCCAAGCTACTCAAGAGGCTGAGGCTGAAGGATTGCTTGAGCCCAGAGTTAGAGACCAGCCTGGGCAACACAGTGAGACTCTCATCTAAAAACAAAACAAAACAAAACAGAAAGAAAAGAGAAAAAGAAAAAAAGATTTGTTCTGGGAAAACAGTTAACAATCCATACTGTGGACTATCAGCTGAAAGTCAGAGTCTAAAAATAACTTTAAGTAGGCATTTTTTTTTTCTTTTGTCATACATTCTAAGTAAATCCTGCCCCCAACTCCGCCCTTTTTTTTTTTTCCTTTAAAATGTCCTCACCACCAGGCATGGTAACTAACACCCGTAATTCCAGCACTTTGGGAGACCGAGGTGTGCGGATCACTTGAGGCCAGGAGTTCGAGACCAGCCTGGCCAACATGGAGAAACCCCGAAACTAAAAGTACACACACACACACACACACACACACGCACAAAATAAGCTGGGTGTGGTGGCGCGTGCCTGTATTTCCAGCTGCTCAGGAGGCTGAGGCAGGCGAATCGCTTGAACCCAGGAGGCAGAGGTTGCAGTGGGTCCAGATCACACCACTGCACTCCAGCCTGGGCGACAGCGCCAGACTCTGTAGGAAAATAAGTAAATGAATAAATTCCCGTTGAGATGCTTTCCAGGGCGCTAGTCAAGCTCCATATGCTTATTTGTGGGAGTGAAAACACCAATATTTCAGGATTGTGGTGAGGACTAAGTAGTGTCTGTAAGATGCACAGAGAAAGCGTAAATAGTCGTGAATAGCACTTGTTAGGTCTACACACTCCATTTTTCTCTATATTAATAGAATTATTTAAAGATTGGCTAGCTTTTTGGGGAAATGTCTCTCCATTGTATTCCACTTATCTTATTAGCATGAACTACCTTTTCTTCTTGCTTTTCAGCTTTCTCTCCTATGAAAAAGGTGGAAAATGTTTTAGTACAAGAGGACCCTCTCAAGCAGTAAATCATTTTGATATTAAAAACAGATAATTGCAAACCCAGTTTTACTTCAGTATGAGTTCCGCAGGGGAGTGTGAGTGTGAGAGTGTGTGTGTGTGTGTGTGTGTGTCTGTAATTACATGTTTTTCAAAAAAGGAAAGGGATCAGTATTAAAGGTACTTGTATACTAGAAGCAAAAAAAAAAAAAAGGAAGTTTAGTTCCTCTGAGCTCCTTGTTAATTATAGCTGCTAAAGGTAGCTTTTACAAAGAAACTGCCTTTGTGCCAAAAGTATTTATTTCCTTGTTTGTATTTATCCCTTTGAGGAGGAATCGCTGTGTCTTGAGTGAAAGGGGTGCTCTGCTTGCCTGCATTAAACTGATGAGGGTCCAGGCGCATGATGGATGATTTCAGTAGGTAGAGCAGACACATTTTAGTTTATTTCTCTCTTTCTCACTCCCCACACTCAACCTCCGATGTACACACGTTACAAGATTCCCTGGAGTCAGGAGGTGGGAGCGGAGAGTTTCAGTACAGATCTTGACATCAGAGTACTCTGACCAAGAAAAAGAAAGAAAGAGAGAAGCGAGGTGGAGAAAGCAGGAGCAAGGAAAGAAAGAAGGAAAAGCGGAGGGACAGTAAGAAAAAAGAAAACGAAGGAGGGAGGGAGGGAGGAAATTTAAGTGAAGAAGGAAGGAAGCTTGGATTCAGGGAGGAAAGGGAGCGAGAAAGAGAGCGAAAGAAGAGCGTGAGAAGAGGCAAGCATTACAGTCTCCGGTCCACAGGAGAGAGATGGAGCCCTCATCCGCACTAGAGAATCCCAAAGAGCCAGTGTATTGTTTTCTTGAAAGCCCCGAAGCTAAGCAATTCCGAAAATGTTTAGCAAAGCCCTTTTGGGAATGGTGAGATGAGGGGTGGGGAGGATAGGACATTCTCATTGCCACCGCCCGCCCCCCACCCCGTCTCCCCGGCCCCCTCACATGAAGTGACTGGATTTGGGAGACCTAGCGGAAACCTTCAGGTCACCCAGTGAACTGCTCCTCTCGCTGGTCCTGCAGCGGCGAGGCGGGGTGGCGGGTGGCGGGGGGTGGGGGGGCCGTGAGAGCGCCGAGACGCGCGGGGCGCGGAGGTATGCAAGTGGCGAAGCTTGACCGAGCGCAGACTGGAGCAGCCGCCTAACTCCTGGCGCGGGATCTACTGAGAGGTCACGGTGAGTCTCTGCGGGTGCGGGTAGGAGGGATGCCCAGGTGCCTCGACGCCCCCCGGCCCGGGAGGAGGCGGGTCCGGAACCTCCCCCTAGTCTGGCCTCACCCCGGAGCCCGCGCGCCTTGGGCGGATGCACCGACTGAGCGGCGCTCGGCTGGGCTCCCAGCCCGCCACTGCCACCGGGCCCCGCGCGCTCATTGGTCGGGATGTGTCGGCTCAGCAGCCTCCAACTTCTCCCGAATCCCACTGGTGAGTCCCAGGAGAGCGAGCTGAGGGAGAAAGGTCCAAAGGGCGCGAGCGCCCAGGGCGCTGGGAGCCCGTGGGACGGGCACGGGGAGGGCAGAGCCAGCCCAGAGGAGCTGCTGCCGGGTGGTGCGCTGAGCAGGGTCCGCAGCTAAGGTCCGGCGCGATCCGAGCGCCCAGGACCCTGCGGCGGTGGAGGAGGCGTGCCCTGGGAAGGAGCCGCTACTGGGACCTGAAGAGTGAGGGGAGGGAGAGGGGCCCGGAGGTTGACCTGGAGGAGGGCTCTGGAAGTCACGTCAGGTTGGCTCTTCAGGTTCATTTCCATAGTTCCCTGCGGCCTCTGCCTCGGGGAGTTATGTTTGGTTACGGAGATCCGCGCTACCAGATTGCACCGGGGCTGATTTGGGGGCTGGGAATTTGCCATTCTGCTGTACAGACACTGATTTTTTTTTTTTTTTTAAGCAAGGTTTGTTTTCATTATGGTTTCGGTCGGATTTTCTCATTTGTAACTCACTTTTCTATTTTTACTTTTCTTAACCGGAAGATCTTTTCATTATCCCACCTCTTCATCTTGCTTTTAACCTGATTTCCTATTATATAATTTATGCTTAAATCTCACAAGGGTTGGTCGGTGCGGGGTTGGGATGTCCTTTTGTAGATGAAAGTTTAAGACTTCTTACTTAACTGGTTTCAATCTATTTGTATTGTTTCAAAATAAGGGTAATTGCAACCAAATATCCCTCTTTAGCCTCTTGATCAAGTCGATTCCTCCCCCATATATAATTCGAATTACAATTTTATTAAACTGAAAACTAGTACCTGACTTGCAGCGTCAACATTGGAAACTGCTTATCGGCAAATCGACTGTATGAAGGCGTGTAACTTCATTCCCTGCCATTTTTGTGGGTTCCAGCAATTTAAAAAATTGGTAATTTCTTGGACTTAACGCTGTGTCTTTGGTTGTAGAGCAGCACTAACCAGGAGAGTAACATGGTTGGTACTTTGTGTCCAGAACTCCGTATTTCAGGCTGGGAAACACCTAATTAATGTCTGGGAAACAAGAAGATGATTTATCCTGAGTACCTCTGTCCTCAGCTTCTGCAGACACAGTCTAAATATGCAAACTGTTTCTCCTTCTTCCTGTGCCTCAGTTTCCATAATACAAACTGTAATTGCAAAGCACAGCTTCAGGAACCTGCAGATATAAGTTAATGTTATAATGTGCTATGAAGATGAAAATTGCTTAGCTAAGTCTAAGTCTGTAAGTCTACGAGATTTCCTTTTTAACAAATCAGTTATTCAGGTTTCCTGCTTTGACTATCTGATATAGTTATGCGTATGCTCAACTGGTATAAGAATTGCTGCTTTACATTGCTTTGAAATTCAGCTTACACTTAAAATAGTAATTTATTCTCTTGGTAATGTCGAGCTGAAGTTTGCAGGTTCTTGTTATCTTACACCTCCTAATTCTCTATTCTCGTCTGTGGCAGTGTCCACTTTTTCATTTAAACTTTTTATTTAACACATCTTCAGTTGAAGTGAAATATTTTAAGAATACAGGTATGTTTTTGCATACCCTGCTTTATATGGGACTACAAGCATCAACTTTGTTTTTTTTTTATTTTAATTTTTTTTTATTTTTATTCTTTTGTTTACTTGTCCCCCTTACTCTTCTCTTAAATGGGATTGGGTGTGGTTAAGTTGGATATTCAGGTATCTGGGAGTTAGTCATATGTTCCACAGTGAGATTCCAGATACTGTCCCCTGATCTCTTAAAGAAAAATAGTGAACCTTCCAGAATTAACTGGAAATGAATGACAAAGTTAATTAGGAGATTAAACTTGCATCATTTCTGCTTGCGCTCAATGCTTTTGGAAAAACGCTACTAAGAGCAAAAGACTTCCTTTAAGAATTTACAGAGCATTTACAAGAGGGGGAGATGGAGGAACACCTTGTAGATTATTCAAAGATTATATTGTTTTGATGCAGCTTCTCTCACTGTCTTCATTTCTCTGTAACTGTTTCTGCAAACTTAGGTGCTGAACCATTAAGAGCCCAGCTGCTTCAGTACGCAGTCTTAAAGGTAAGGAGAAGCCAAGGGAAAGTAACTTACAGGGAGAAACAAATGCTTATCCACTAGCTTTACTACACCACAAGGCATGGAGTTGCCACAGAGCACCTGTAATTTAGCCCTGAGGCTGCCCTGGTTCACCTCTTCACTTTACAGGGACACAGACTGCCATTTCTAAGGAAGAACTAAAAACACAAACAACAAAAAACGTCATTTTGTACCAATAAAACATTTCTCTACATTGCCTTCTGAAATATACAGGGGGAACAATATTCAGGAAAGAGAAATACTTTAGCAAATGTGCTTAATATTCAGATGTTCTTTAGGACAGTCATGAAACATGGGGAGACTGGGAGACTTATTATTGTTTACCTCTCTGTAAGGTGTCCAAAGTATTATTAAATTTGTTCCCATCTTTTCTTTGCCCAACCAATACACTATTAAAATAGGACTACAATCAATGCAATTCCATATCATAACCCCAGGGGTGGTGAGACTAAGCCAGCATGCCTTACATAACCATTAAGTAAGACATTTTAACATTCAGATACATTACATTCCCCTTTTATTGAGCAGACACAGTTTTCATTGTCTAATAAAATATTTTTATTTGATAGTCTGTCCTTGCTTATAGCCTCATGTAATCAAGGGGACAGCATGTTTAAGACTTTGTATCCAGAACCTTAAGGTCTCATTGTGGTTCGCTTATGAATAATTCACTGGGAAGGGTAATTTCTAGTTTTCTGCTGGGTCTCCCTACCACACTTCAAATGTGAAATATGTTTCTTCTTTCTCCTATGCGTCAGTTTCCACAAAACACACCCTTAGAGAATTGTGCGTATTCAACAAAGATCTTTAACTATAAGAGCATTTCTGAGCCGTCCCTGCATCCAGGGACCAAATTCTCAGAGCAGTTTGTATTGAGCTATAAACAGCTAATCTGTCAGTTTAAGATGTTCTTTTATACAGTCATGAAGCAAAATGGAAATTGTGTGTTCTAATCCTTGGAGACGGACTGATAAACTGTCACTAGGCCCCTGATAAAGTTTAATATTTAGGCTTCTACCCCCTTAATTTTCCCCCTAAATTTCTACAATAAGATCTAAATTAGCTTTTACTGCATGATGATACAGCTTTATTTTGAACAATGACCGAGTGTGTTCTTTCCAAAGAATATTGACTAGTTGTGTAGTCTTAAACACGTTGTCTGACTTCTCTGTGCCCCAGTTTCCCAATTCTTTATTCTCTTCTGTGGCAGTGTCCACTTTATGGTTTAAAGTTGTTAACACATCTCCAGTTGAGGTGAAAGATTTTAAGAATACAGGTATGTTTTTGCATACCCTGCTTTACACAGGACTACAAGTATCAACTTGGTAACTTTTTGTATTATTTTGTTTACTTGTCCCCTTTACTCCCCTCTTAAATGGGATTGGGTGTGGTTAAGCTGGATATTCAGGTATCTTTTGGTACAGCGAGTGACCATTTTCAGAATGTTGTCTAACCAGTTAATAGATACCTGTATCAGTAGTAGTAGTAATTTTGAACTGTAAAAATAAAAGTTGTCTTTATGACTAAAATAAACTACCTCATGTGTTCATTCCTTTTGGTGTTTATCTATATTAATATTTCAAATTATTGCTTAGTCAAAACCTCAAGGTATTAGTCATTGGTTTTTGAGCTTATAAAGGAAGCCACTGGAGCAAGATATAAAATTAACTTTGATGTTAGTCCAGAGTTCAAAAGGGTAAGTTTAAAACTTTCTTAATGGTGGTATAGCAATTATTTGCTTATAAACTGCTGAATTAATCCTACTTGAGTATTTAACCAAGTCTTACTGTCTAATTTTGCTGAGATTTTCAGTGATACATCAAAACAAAACAAAACAACAGCAACAAAAAACAAAAAGTTGTGACTGAGACCTGTCGAATTCATTTGACTCTATAATCTTTGCATTCAGCAACAAAATTTTGACTTCTCAACAGCAAAAACACATTTCTATTTTAAAATGACTGAACCTTTTACTTTTATCCAGTCACATTACGCATTTGGACATTTTCTTTTTTATCATTAGCATTTTCATTTTTTGCAGATTTTAGGTGATGGGCAGATCAGAAAGTCAGATGGATATAACTGATATCAACACTCCAAAGCCAAAGAAGAAACAGCGATGGACTCCGCTGGAGATCAGCCTCTCGGTCCTTGTCCTGCTCCTCACCATCATAGCTGTGACAATGATCGCGCTCTATGCAACCTACGATGGTGAGTTACTCCCACACCTGTGCATCCATAAATGCAAAAGAGAAGGAAATCTTCCTCTATGCTTTTACTGTCTGTCTAACAAATGTTTTAGGGATAGAGGCACTTAAAGACTGACAAAGAGATTCATTTAAAAAATGTAACATCAGTATGTCAAAACAATTAACTTTGAAGTACAGTGCCTTTTATGTTTGAGCTAAGTTATTAATTGCAAGTATATTTAGTGTGTTCATGCTTACTTATGAGGAATCTCAAATATGGTTTTATTTGATTAAAATATACACAATTTTATGGCCAGCTTTAGTAATAGTCATTAGTCAGTTTTTGTTGTGTCACTGAAATTCTAAAGGGCTTCACAGGAATTTAACAAATTTAATTTGAGTCTTGGAAGTTTTTCAAAACTAGGATTAAAAAAGATTGATTTTCAATGGTTAAAAAAAATGATTACCAAGCAAAAACAACTGATTATTTCAATGTAATAGGCCTAGAGCTTAGTTGGTAGAGAAGATATAATAACACATTTTTCTTCATAATCAAAATTTTAAATTTAGATTTTACCTATTTTATTTTCTTATATTTTTTCTAACCACTGGCAATGATATATAATGCTCAGTTTTTAGTTCTTGCTTTAAGAAATTGCTTATTTAATCGACAGTTTTTAAAAGAACAAAAGAAAAACAAATTTAAAAATGTGCGTTGCCAGTATTTATGCATATTCTCTCCTTTTTCTAGATGGTATTTGCAAGTCATCGGACTGCATAAAATCAGGTAAGAAATGGTTTTTACATGTAATAGTTACACAACTGATGTATAATATTGAAAATTAAATGCTAATCTTAGTTTGCTTTGTTTACACTTTCATTCATTATAGATCAATTATTTGTGTGTCTGGCTCTATAATCAAGGGAAATAAAATTATATTTAAGTAATAGATTAATTAACTTGTCTACTGTGAAAAATATGTTACTATTGGCAGCCCTGGGCTGTATAGCAGGGCAATAGAAAACTATTTCTCTATTTGTATGGAGCTTGCCATGCAGTTGAAGAAAGAAAATGAGCACATATGAAATGGTAAGCATTGTATCATTGTGTTAAATTTCTCAATGCACCTCACTAGGTGGGTGAGAAGAAGGGAGTGAGATGTAGCATGTAAATCTAGATGGAGAAGTTAAAATTTGGGAAGAAACTTCTTTTTTTTTTGAGACAGGGTCTCACTCTGTTGCCCAGGCTGGAGTGCAGTGACGTGATCTCAGCTCACTGCAACCTCTGCCTGCCAGGTTCAAGGGATTCTCCTGCTTCAGCCTCCCGAGTAGCTGGGACTACAGGTGCCCACCACCACGCCTGGCTAATTTTTGTATTTTTAGTAGAGAAGGGGTTTCACCATATTGGTCAGGCTGGTCTTGAACTCCTGACCTCAGGTGATCTGCCTGCCTCGGCCTCCCAAAATGCTGGGATTACAGGCATGAGCCACTGCAGCCAGCCTTAAATTTGGGAAGAACCTTGAAGTAGGGCTGGAATTTAGATGTGGCAGTGCAGAAGAGGGAATTCCAAACACAACAGAAATAAACTATGTTATTGAGAAGTAGTAAAAATGTACGCTTGATAGAAGGGCACGTTGTGGAGAACCTTGAAAATCCATGTTTAGCCTTCATATTGTAATACAGGAGAAACAGATATTTTTGAACAGAGGAGTGACCAGGCCAAAGGTGAAAGATGATTCCGGGAATGTGAGGTTAGATGGATTGAGTGAAAAGGAGGGCAGGTAGGTGGGGGCTGCGTCTGTACTCCAAGTGTAAGCTAAAGAGATTGGTCTGTGGTGAGATAAGAGTGCTATTGAGATAATACAGAGGGAGAATTGGGTGACTTAATAGAACTGACTTGCTAAATAAAATGAATGAGTTCAGAATGATGCCAAGTTTTAAAACCCAAGGGACTGAAGAGAATGGTGGCAGCCCACACAGAAAGAGAGAAGTTATGAGGTGGATGTGGATGTGTTTGGTCTAAGCCATGGGTAACAGCCCCATGAGAATAGACAGCAGGAAGGTAGAGGTGAGGTTCAAGAATTTGGAATATGAATTTGGGATCTGTCAGTTTAAGAGTGATAGTGGAAGCCTTGGGAGTATTTGAGTTCTCAATAGAAGAGAAGAGGTTCAAGGGCTAAACTTAAGACAATATCAGTGATTAGAAGAGAAGAAAAATAAGTCAGAGCAGAAAACAGAGAAGTGTATGGAGCTATATAAATCCCAGCAATTAGAGTGTGGTGAAAATGAAAGTATTTCTTCTTTCATCAAGAAGAAGGAAGGTGGTAGCTGAGGGCAGCACCCTGGGATATGAACACGATGTTTGTGGCCTTTAACAAGAGATTCTAAACCTCCTTTCTAACATCTAAGTGTCTTATAAGAGATAAATAAACTGCCCCAAATAATTTGAACCATTTTCTGCTGGATTTTTTTAAAAATTTTATTTATGTATGTTTGTATGTATGTATGTATGTATGTATTTTTTGAGGCTCTGTCACCCAGGCTGGAGTGTAGTGGTGTGATCACAGCTCACTGTAACTTTGATCTCCTGGGCTCAAGGCATCCTCCCACCTGAGCCTCCTGAGTAGCCGGGACTATAGGCACCTGCCACCATTCCTGGCTATGTTTTTTTTTGTTTTTTTTTTTTTAAGTTTTTTTGCAGAGACAGGGTCTCTCTATGTTGCCCAGGCTTGGTTTTGAACTCCTGAGATCAAGCAATCCTCCTACTTGTCTTCCCAAAGTGCTGGGATTACATGCATGAGCCACTGCACCCAGCCTTGGATATTCTTTACATGATTTTTTGTTATTCACTGAACTTTGCAAAAGAATGACGGGAAAATATCTGGCAATTCTAGGTTATAGTCTAATGTCCTGAATCTATGCTCTTTGCTTTTTTTTTTTTGGATTGTTTTTTGATGTTTTTATTTGCTCTGGGTCACAAGTGCAATGGTCAGACGCCCTGAGATGTGATGTGGGGAGTATGAGGGAAAGTTGATTTAGATGTTAGCCATTTGCTCCTCAACATGGTACGTTTTTCTCAAAAATAAAGTTTCTTTATTCCCCAGGGAAATGACTGCACAGGTACTTTGGCTGGGGGATCTCCGTGGCCATGTGCGAAAGTCAGCATGTGTCCAAGTTGTCAAAGTTAACATTTACTGCCTCCCCGGATCCTCCTGTGCTTCCTCTCTCTACCAGCTACCCTATTACATGCTCAGGCTGTCCCTGTTTTGGGAAACTTCCACTTACATATTGACTACTGAGGATTAATTCGTCTGTCTGCAATACACTTGACATGTCTGTCTCTTTAGTAACTTAATCTATAGCTCTCTTCTCTCACTATTTTTCTTTTTTCTCTTCTTTTCCTTGAATTTTATTTTCGAAGAAACTGGATTTTTTGACTAGGTAGGCATGTTTTTATAAACGACAAGTGATTTTTGCCTCAGAGATCTAGGCAGGTTTTTCTTCCCAAGGAGCAATGTGACATTCAGAATCTGGAATCTTAAATGTGACTTAATGTTTAGAGATATGGTTTTTAAATAGTGTTTGGCAAGTCTTAACTCACTAAAATGTATTTAACCTGTATCCTTTAATAGCAGCTTAGAAATCAAACCAAATGTATAACACCTTGCAGAATGTATTTTGGCAGAGAAATGTAAACAATAGAAATAACTTCAGTGAGAAACAAGGTTGCTGTATAGCTGTGTATTTTTCTTCATTCTGCTCTGTTGGTTCACAAGCCATTAGAATACTTGTTCACATTGGTAGTTACTGTTCTTCCTAGGAGAATGAATAAGATGACACACACCCTCATGGATACACTCTTCATACTCAAACACACAGACATACACACACACAGAGTCTTCTGCTGGTTAGGAAATCTTTTCTGCCACAGAAAAATACAACTATTTCTTTTAGAAGTCGTTGCAAATTAGGAAAACCCTAGAGGAAATCTTGGACAAAAGCAAGTATTGAAGAAGAGTGACAAGAGTAGAACAGGCCGGGCGCGGTGGCTCAAGCCTGTAATCCCAGCACTTTGGGAGGCCGACACGGGCGGATCACGAGGTCAGGAGATTGAGACCATCCTGGCTAACACAATGAAACCCCGTCTCTACTAAAAATACAAAAAAAATTAGCCGGGCGTGGTGGCGGCGCCTGTAGTCCCAGCTACTCGGGAGGCTGAGGCAGGCGAATGGCGGGAACCCGGGAGGCGGAGCTTGCAGTGAGCCGAGATCGCGCCGCTGCACTCCAGCCTGGGCGACAGAGCGAGACTCCGCCTCAAAAAAAAAAAAAAAAAGAGTAGAATAGATGGAAAGAAAAAGAAATAAGAAAAGAGAAGGCTGGGCGCGATGGCTCACGCCTGTAATCCCAGCACTTTGGGAGGCTGAGGCGGGCAGATCACCTGAGGTTGAGAGTTCAAGACCAGCCTGACCAACATGGAGAAATCCCATCTCTACTAAAAATACAAAATTAGCCGGCTGTGGTGGTACATGCCTGTAACCAAAGCTATTCAGGAGGCTGAGGCAGGAGAATCACTTGAACCCGGGAGGCAGAGGTTGCGGTGAGCCAAGATAGCGCCATTGCACCATAGCCTGGGCAACAAGAGTGAAACTCCATTTGAAAAAAAGAAAGAAAGAAGGAAAGAAATATGAAAAGAGAGATGTTGAAAAAAATATAAAATATCTTACCAGCAAGTCTATAGGTCACTTTAAGAGAGTAGGGGGTTCAAACCTGAGCTCAGAAATTCTTGAGAATGGGAAAACGAAGTATTGACACTCAGGGTGCTTACATTATGTGAAAGATGGCCCCAACTTGAACCTTTCTCCCAGTGGAAAGGTATGTCACAGCAAATGGACTTTTCTCTTTGATCCTTTGAAGTCAAGGAATAGAAGTCAAGCCGTACCAAGACAGAAGTAAAATATTGCAGAAGGCTGTTTCAAATCTGTTTGGTGTTACGTATTTTAAATCTGAGCATTTAGGATTTAAATATTTATGATGTACATAAAATGATGTTTATGTATACTTTAAATTAACTTGCCTATATGTGTAAATGCTTCAGTATAAAATATTACACCAGACCTAAAGTAAAACAAATACCATTTAAGAAATAACATCTTAAGGCGGAGATCAAAATGCTTCAAAGTATTATTCATCACTTATTTACCCTATAAGGTTGTCAAAAACTTAGAGTTATAGAACTTGTATGTGATTTTGCAGACTTTTCCATACAAATCTAAATCCTGAAACTGACTTCCATTGCATTGTAACCTTCCTAACTCAGCTTTCAAGGAATCTTATGCTTTAAATCAGGGTTTCTCAACTCACTATTGATATTTTTGTGCTGGAATTATTCTTTGTTGTGGGTGTTATTCTGTGTATTATAGGATGTTTAGCAGCATCCCTGGCCTCTACCAACTAGATGTCCAGTAGCAGTCCTCTCCTAGTTGTGACAACCAAAAAATGTCTCTAACCATTACTAAATGTTCCCTGCAGGCAGCACAGTCACTTGTGACTGGGTATCCCTGGTTTAAATGGTCTCAAGATGTTATCAATGCTTCCCTCTTAACGGTAGGCAGGATAATGGCCTTTCAAAAATATTCACATCCAATTTCCAGAGCCTCTGAATATATTGCCTTACATGGCAACATGCCTGTAATTCCAGCACTTTGGGAGGCCAAGGCGGGTGGATCACTTGAGGTCAGGAGTTCAAGACCAGCCTGGCCAACATGGTGAAACCCTATCTCTACTAAA